AAATATTAGTTATCTTTTTTAGTCTCTTATTAAATGTAATTAAATATTGAGTGATATCGTTATTCCATAGCTGTATCTAAGGAAATTGAGTTCATATTTTATACAATATAAGTAATTATTTCAGAACTTATATTAAAATATATCGTTTCCTTAAGTTTATTATATCGCCAACTCCTAGGAACGCAGTAACGCGATAAACGTACATACCTATAACTTCAGTTAATTTATTTATTTTGTGCGCAATAACGAGTTTGTTATTAGAACATATTTTATTTTGTACATTATTTATATGCATGTCAACAAATAGTATTTGTCTCTTATAAAGTGTGTTTAAAATTTTAATTAGTTAAAAGACGCTAGCTCTTTCCAGACATTTTTCGACAGCGGCATAACGATTTTGAACTGTAATGTTGTATCTATGGAGAAATTTGTGAAAGCAATCGCCATCTAAAAGTGAATTAAAAAAATCATACTGGGATCTTGGACTTTATTATTTTTATGTAAATATAGCATTTTATAATAGTTATTATCTACAATTTAAAACACTCTTGGATAATAAACTAAAAAGTACGCGGAGTTTAAGTAAGTACCTACCTACTTGTATCAAACAGGCGCAAAAAAATATTTCAAAACATTCGGTCAACAAGATAAAGTAATGGTTTAATGTACATATAACACATTGCTATTTATAATATAATAAGTACATTAATAAAAAAAAGTGTAGGTATAGTCAGTAAATTTTGTTGTATCTATTTCATAAACAAACCAGATTAAAAATAAACCCAAATTTAAAAAAAGACGTCATAACTTAAGCTAATCTAAGTTGTACTATTTAATATTTATATTGATTAACTTGAGAAAAGCTTATCTTAGAATTACTTAAATTTTATTTAAAGAATCTGTGCAAAATAGCGCTGTGGGTTCGAGTGAGAAAGGAGGAGCCTGACTACCGCTGCCGTATGCGTGAGAGAAAGGGAAGCCAGACAGACTGAAGCCGTAACGCGTTACGTAACAAAGCGGTTTACCCTTCTATAAGAAGTTATCAATTCAAAAACTTCTCATAAACTACACAAACCTTAACTCTATGACGTGACAGTACAGTAGTGCAGGTCCAGCGTTTGATCGTAACAGAAGTGTATCTTGTATTAGGGTTCTTACCGCGCTATCGGATAGCGGTATGTCGCCCGCATCATGGGGTACCGTAACCTATGGAAATAAAGATCTCCATCGACTCTCTGCCCTACATACTTGAATGTTTTGCTAATCGGCTGCATGACGGTGTTTCTTTAATATGTTTGTATAACAGACATAGTTATACCGTTACGCCATAAAACCTTTAGAAACTTTCGATATATTCAAGACATATATCACATCTAAGACATTATGACTACCACTATCTGATGAATGTGATCGGATATCGAATGAAATTATATTCATGTTCCTAAACGTCTGTTGAGTTTTAAGCCGGCAATCTAAATGATTTTGTTGGCCATAATTTCACAGTCACGCATTAAAAATTACTTAAAAAAATATAGTTTTAAAGTGTTAAAAATATTGTAGGTAATAAGTATTAATACCTATACATAAATAGTGCGCGTGTTTGTGCGTAGATATTTGTCTATGACTTTTTAAATACATACAATCCATAATGTTTACTGGCAACATTTTTTAAATGTATCTAGACATTCGAAATCGACCTAAAGAAAAGATCACATTGTGACACCTATTCTACAAACTGTAATATCTTAAACGGATATTTTAAACATCCACGAAGCCAATAAACCAAAAATTCACAAAAAAATCTACACATTTGGTGTAAGTAACAATAAAAGTTTATGAAAAGAAACTAAAAAAAATATTTCTGAACAATAGTATGACCCTCGATACACGTCTTGGCCTTGGACACAGTTTGATGGCTTAAGAAATGGCTCCCTTTGAGAACAACTCGCTCAAGAATAAATCAAACAAGTCTCGTTAGTCCCAAATTTTAAATAGTATAGTTTCTCTTTAATACTTCAGAAATTTTAGACACCTGTTTTTAATATTTATTTTATTATTTTAAAGTGATGCAAGCAATTATCGCGGCAGAAGTAATTATGTAAAAAATCTTGTATTAAAATTAAAATAAAAATAAGTGCGTGATTCACTGAACAAATGTTACATGGATATTATTTAGGTACGAGAAACAAAACGATTTTAAAACAATATTTTTAATCTTCGAAATTCAGAAATAGGATAAGTTCCTACTGTTATTTTATTTACATTCTTTATCTACTGATGTGGCATATAAACTGAAATATTTGCATTGTTTTTTGAATAAATAATTTTCTTGGTGCCCCTTCTATTACAATTCAAAGTTTAGGGTGCAATTGTTGAAATGGGTTTCTCACGGGTATCAAATCGTTTTCTTGAGGGGTTCTACAAGAATATAATCCACGCTATCGACAAGACACAACATTGTAACCTAATGTCTTATTACAGTTATTACATACGGAAAACGATTGGTAACCTCACCGATGTTTTTTTAATTAATGAAATCGTTAAAATAAATAAAGCTCTTATCCATACTTCTTAAAAGTAAAAGCATGCACTACAATAATTAAAACTTCGATTTTAAAATATAAAACCAATAATACTAAGCATAGACAATGATTGTGCCGGCCAGCGCCATTCGCATTTCGAATCATTTTAATCAAACTTGGGAAAAAAATCAAAGACGTTGGGGTTCAGGTAATCGCAAGATGCGAAATCTTAAGAAAATAACAATAACATTAATAAATAATGTAATAAAAGCTGTATCTTTTAAGAGTTAAAGTTCAAATTGTATTAAAATATTTTATTACCTGTTTGACTTGAACTATTGTTATACGAATCGAGATAAGGAGTTTTAAACTTTAAGTCACAAGAAATAAAATCGATATCCTCTTGAGTAATATTTTGGCAAATCTTGTAAGGGTAAACTGTGTGAATAATAGAACAGCTGATTCCCACACGTAACGGTTTTATTTAAAATACTAGTTTTGTAACCCGCTTCTACTTTCATTGTTAAAGTGAGAATTACTTCTTATAAAATCTGCAGCCACCACCCACCAATATATGTAACTATCGCAGTCATATTAGAGTTATTCAAATGCGTAAAACATATTTCTGCCATTATAATTAATTAAATGATTAATTTCAAATTATTAGTTTTCTTTTGTACTGATGGACCATAACATTTAATCTTAACTTAAATGTGTATGTCATTTAAGGAAGTTAGAAGTAGTGTAAGTAGGTATGACTTATTGGGAATTCTTTATTATTTAGGTTTTTAGAAAATAAACGCTAACGGGATGTAGGTAATTCTTAAATGTTAGTTTCTAACTGCTTAATTGGCTAAAGGCACACTTTTTCTTTTTGCAACATCTAACCCGCATTGTGATTACCATAACCGAAGTGTCGGTACGTTAACCGCTTACAAATACGTCACATTTTACGTTGATCGTTATCTTATACAAACCTAACCTCAACCGATGAAACAGAATACATAACCTCAATTTGAGATCCACTGACGAAATTTTTTAATTTTGAAAATTCTTAAAAAAAAATACATCAACGTTCCAAAATTTGATTTGGTTGGTTACCAAGTGCCAGTATTATTTTTATCGCAAAGTTTAGATATACTAATATCGACTATTTGTCATTCTCGTTTTACTAAAATCATATAATGAACGTAAAGTAGAATACTCAAATGACATCTAAATAAAGACTGTCATTAATATCACCCACTTTAAAACACTCATGTGTTGGCAGACCACATGCCTTTAATGGCTAAGATAAAAAAATGTGTGTCCCATTGACGAATAATATAATCAATAGCTAAATATCATATGACGAATGTCATGAGTAACTGTTATGACTAAAGTATTAGTCACAGCTGGGCTTCACTTTCTTTAAACTTATTAATGATTGTCAAACTGACACAAAAAGTCATTTGAATTTCACACCGTTTGTAAATACATCCTTATATGTATATACATTAATATCATTGGGTTTACCAATATGTTTAGGATTAAAACCAAGGAAAATAACTAAAAATCTGCTAATTATATTTAAAAGTTTTACAAATGACACAAGTGTACATCGCGATACCTCGCGCGCCACGCAATGTGACATCTAATTATTTAGACACTTAGACAGTTCATTTACTTATTCAATTATTAAGGCTGCGATATCGCGCAGAGTGCCAATTAAAAAATAATAGAAGGCTGCGGTATGGGAGGGCTGTCACGAGAGGTTTAGAGATGGTTCGCGCTCATTCACATATGAGTATCTTCGTTTTATACATGTATGCGTTAATTGTACACAATTAAAAACAATTGAAGGCATAAAATGCTTCCAGAAGATTTTTCTTAGAATTCCAAAAAAAACTAATTACATAGTTGTTAATCTAAATTTCTGCAGCGTGAATTCAAAAGTTAGTTGCAAAAATCTGATCCTTTTTTAATTTTTCATTATTGGCTAGACCTTATAAGAAACATAACCCTAGAAGTCTGATAAAATTACCCCTTGGAACTAGCTCGTCACTTGCAGTTACGTGAAAAACCGAATTAGCTTGTCTGAATGCGAACTCGTAAGTAATTAGCCTCGCGAGACTCTCGATCCGCTCAACTCGCTCTTGTAAGCGAACCGGAGCGAAGATAGCGAAGCGATGCGACGAGAGTGCAAAAATGGCTAATCAAATCCTTTCCCGCTCTCAACGGTATTCGAGGGTTTTTTATTTTCATTGTACCGAGAAGTGTCATGGTGCAGGACACCTACATATTAAGTTATAAAACCGCATTCACTAAGGTTGTCAAGATCTTTTAAAAATAGTCTATACTTATAATTTAACGATGAAGTGACGAATGATAAAAACATTCAACAACACTTAAACATGTCTGTTATCTTACTTATAAAAAAATGGAACTCAATAATATTTAAAGAAATACTAATGATATGGTAACTTTCTTTATTTACAGAGAATTCTACTACATACAAATGGAAAAGTACGCTCGACAGGCAATCAGCGAAGGTTTGAAAGCGGCAGAAGACCTTCACGTAGCTGGTGACTCAGAGCTGTACAGGGTGCTCAATCTTCATTACAACAGAAATAACCACATTGAGGTGAGCATGAGCTTTTAAAAAATAATTTTACAAATAACATAGCAAGCTCACAATAATAACTGAACTGATTATTGTTGGTCACAAAGGTTTTTACTAAGCATTGTGTTTGCTATATTCCAGGTTCCGCCAAACTTCAGATATGTGGTTGAGCAGACTTTGAGAGAGTTCTACCGCGCCATCCAAGGTGGCAAAGACGCGGAACAGAGCTGGAAGAAGTCTATCTACAAGGTGATCTCGCGGCTCGATGACCCCGTGCCCGAGTACTTCAAGTCGCCGAACTTCCTCGAGCAATTGGAGTAAGCGCGACATCGACCTTCGGCATAACTAAATTATAAAAAGTTAAACAAATCATTGGACGATTGTTTCGCACACCAAAATTTTACGACACTCGCATTTAGGCCTTCAGATTCAAAATTATTGATAAAGGAGTTAAATTAAATTATTAAAAGAAATTTTGAATTTGTACGTTGGACGTCGAGCGGCGTGGCGGGAGCCGCGCCGCAGCCCGCGCTCTACTAGGAAATTCATTAGGTTATTACGACTAAGAGAAAATTTAACTCACCTAGAATTTTATTTGTGCACATAATATATTTCGCTATATATAATTATTATATTATTATTAAGTATTATCTTAAAATGGTTTTTATAGTTGTGTATATCTTAAAATCATTTATTGATTTATTCTTTAAGGAAAAAAACGATTAATATATTAACTGCTTAAGTTTTGAATTTTTGTTTTTTTGTTTTAATTTTTCCTCTGTTTCCTTGTCCTTTGGAGCATGGTTCAGTTTTTTTATCCCTCGTAGTGTTTGTGTTGTAGGCACGCCACGCGCGGCCGGAAATTGTCAACCTTTACCTCGTCGTACTTATTTTAGGAGTAATTGATTAAAGTTAACCATAGACATTAGTACAATAGAGCAGGGTTATTTTTCGATCCACAAACAAAGAATTTAAAATTATTTTTATACTGATAGCCGGGTTTATGTTCATGCAGAGAATTTATCAATAGCATAACAATGCAGTCATAAAATTCAAAAAAGTTAAACATCTTATGTCAAGTTTAGTGTAAACATCTTATGTTGTATTTACAAATGTTCGGCAGAGTTCGGATCGCAATTTCAGTTAGTCCGGAATGTTGCGACGTTGCACACATCTCCGGATTAGGGTTAAGTTTATTTAGATAAAGTACTATTTTCTGAAATTTTGCGCGGGTAAACAATTACAAACGAGTACAAGCCGTCACACCGTTTCCTTTAAAGTTAGCCACGATATAATTTTCTGATATTACCCATATACACAATAAACACCATATATCCGATAATGATAAGGCATTTTAATGTAAACACTTATTATTTTATGATAAAGTTAAGTTTTGTATACGTCTCAGTCGGTTCATAGCACGTGACACTTGTACTCGGCAGACGGGCGCTCCGCGGCGGCTATCAACCACATAGACATTTGAACCACACTCAAACTGCAGCAATAGTTGAAGGCAGCACACGACAATAGATCTGGCACCCTCAAAAGTTCAAAGTCTAAAAAATGAAACATACATTATTTGATATACTGACAGTTAATCACTCGCACTGGGCCACCTCGTCCGAACAGTGCCTTCAAAAATGTTGATTTTTTTACGATTAAAAACCAAATTAAATACAAAAGGGCCCTCAATAGACCAGTCGCCCACCCGAAGCCGTCGCGTGGCGCCCGCACACCGCCCGCCCGCGCAACGCTCAGTTCGCCCATATCGAACATTCAGTATACATACACACTTACTATTATACTATAGAAGAATAATTAGTTTGATTCGTAGATATATGTAGCGCGGTGAGGTCGGTACCGTCACCCAACCGTCCATGGTGTTGGCGATTTGTCTCAGAAACGATACACACCTTCGCCGGTTGGGGAGCGATGCCGAGCGGTCCGCTGATCTCGATGTATTTGTTATAACATGTAGTTGCCGGCCGCCAGCCTGCTAAGCGGTAACACTTTTATTTACCATCCTCAGTTCCACAGAACAAACAAATAAATGATTTCGCTTCTCAGATAGATATAAAACGGTAAGATTGATAGTTGTACAGTAACGTATAGCCACTTGTACATACACGATAGTTTTAATACAGATGAGATGCTTGTCGATAACTATCTTAGCGTTAATGATATTTTAATTAAGAAAACAATAGACAAAACTGGAATACCTATTGTTTTGCTGAATTGTACAAAGTGTTTAAACCATCCTAATTTGTGTGTACGTAACCGCGCAGGCGAGCGACCGGCCATAGCTAAGCAAGTAAGCATTTTTCATTTGATATTAAATGTTTGTTATCGTTTCATTTGTAACCATTTTAAACTATTACGATAATATAAGAGTACCTCAGTTTAGGATGGACCAGGCGTCGACTGGTGTGCTTAGTAGCTCAGGTTAGGTGAAAGTTAGAGATACTGAAGTTTTTAAGACATCGACACATACATAGATTAACACGCAGCCTCCCCCTTCTTCGGATAACCGGTTTTTTGTTCGAAATTTACTTCCTAGACAGTACCGAACCGTCTGGTGAGGCATACGCCGTTACCAGATTATGTTTAGGGCTGTCTCACTACCAGCCACCCTCATATACAATAGCCCGGATTAATTTTCCACGATTCGCGCCGTACGTCGGGTACGCAGTCGTCGCTGGGCTTATTCCAGATCGAGAAACGTTCCATGTTACGTTTACAATTGAATTTTGTTACAAGTTGTTTGTTTCTTCCGTAACATAGGCACTGGCATTTTAGAGCTGACAAGTGTACAGCTATCAGAATTGATCACGAACGGAATTGATCACAATTATTCCTACTTAAGGTCTAGGGGGCATCTCTTATTAGCTCTAAAGTGGCAAATACCGATTAATTCCATGTATAGTAAGTAATGAATTCGTTATTCCAGTCTCTTTATATCTAATAGATGTGTTACGCGGGCTACACAACACATATTACAATAGAAATGTATTGGTTTCCCATCAACAGTTATCAAACCGACATGCCGTAATTTGCAGATACTTGGAGCCGTTTAATGTTTTAGGCTATAGTTTTATAATCTACACTTTGAATTTGTATAGGTACATTACGTAATTAATAAACATTTTTTTTGTCCGGATTTTATACTTGAGTGACTCACTGTGCAATATAACAAGACCACAATGGATATCATATGCGATCAAGCCGATGTATTAGATTATTCGATTATAAAATTTATAAGTTATCGGTTGACAATTTTTCTAAATTTAATAAAAAGTTAAGACTCAAGTTTGAAACATCGAAATATTTAGTCCACAGTGATCTTGGGGGCTATCCCGCAGAAAAAGTACAAAATTCGGTGTTGACTCTCATGTTTGTATCTATGTAGTAGATTTATTGAAATTACCCGTTTCGGCGTCATTTCTCATTGTTTTAATTATTTACTAGATGATAGTATATTTATGTTTCAATTAAATGTACTTTATCAAAAGATTTTGCTTTACAATTTGAGTATTTTGAGATCCGTCTACGAAAACGTTTCGATTATCAATGTAAAATGAAATAAATATTGTAATTAGTTTCAAAATTATGTATAAATAAAAAAAACAATATATGTAGAAAGTGTTTGGTTTCACGTTTGGGTATTATGGTTCCTAAATTTTCGAAATTGTAATAGACTCTATTGTACGTAGCATTTCATTTTTGGAGGTTAGAACATTTAGATGTACCAAATAGCTGTATCAACTTTTCTATACGTGAAAAATTCAAGAAAGGAAAAACTGAAAATTAGGTAATTATGGAAATAAGTATCATTGGTAACATATATATATATATATATATATATCTATATATTATTATCTCATAAAAATGTCAAAAAATGAGCACGGATATACTATTAGGATGTCTTGGAACAAAATACTGCCGACGCTTATCAATAATGTTAGTCAGATAAGCTCAAACGCCCATTGATGCATCTAATCCTATGTCGACATACAGTATGGGCCCCTGCGTGGACCCTCAAAGCGTTCATAATTTTATATTCGATTTAACTGTAGTGACTTTAATATTTTAAAATATCCTTGTGGTCTTCATTGGTAACAGCGATACATGTTCTGTTCAGTATTGTGTGTTCGTATGCAATGAGTTTGTTTGTTTACTTCGGCTAGCCACAGTCCATAATTGTGGTCATTTTTATAATATATTTGTAAACTATAGCGAGCGGACGCGGACGCCAGTGATAAAATTAGTGACAAAATTTAAAATACGAAATTATTTTTGATAGTGCCACGATATTTTTTGTTCTGATCACGACCAATTTCGACACAGTGTGCTCGTGTTCCGGACAAACAGTGACGTGCCATTAATAAAATTGAAATTTGACTAGTGTTTAGGCGTATTTCGGTATCCTCGCATTTCGGCTAAGTAATAAGTGCCCGCGTCCGCTTGTTTTGATATATTTAGTACAAATTTCATGATGTTAAGGTTACGAGGCTCAAAGCTTTTCTTTTGAGGCGACGCACACCCGCCCTCAGCATGCACCTGCGATATAAATGAGTCGTGTATAAAATTTTATTCAAAAAGAGTATTTTTGTATTGAATATTTCTAAAGTTGATGTAATGGTCAAAATTCATAAATTATAGCGATGACAAAATGGGACATTAGATAAATTTAGAATGTCATGCGTTTTTTGTATTTAATTTTAAGAATAGTGTCGGATATAAAACGTTTAGGAGCATTAACCATTTGTAAATAAAAAGTTGAACGGTGCTGCTGAGAGGCAGGGGCGCGGCTGACCTGTTATATAGGTAAAAAAATATATAAATAACTCAAAGATGTTTATATGGTTCTGGATGTAAAAAAGATAAATTTAAAAGCAATTTTAAGGTGAAAAAAATAAGTGGGAAAAATTGTAAACGATTGTTCGGTATTTGCGTTAGAATGGCTGCTAGCGGGTCACTATTGTAATCTGTGGGCCTCAGACAAGTCATACCTAATGTCACAAAAACTAACCTAACGTAACTATGCATTAATTATAACGGTTCTTAAAACTACAACAATACTTATACATTAATATAATATCACATTGTCATAATGCTTATAATTTACGAGCGTGTGTCTTTGTCCGTCAATGTTTAGGAACTAACCACTGTTTGATGTAAGTATTAGACATAAAGTGGATTATTGTGAAAGATAATTAAATCAAAATGGAGTTTGTCGGTCGAAATACCAACGGCTCGTTGCAAATTGCGTTCGTCTATTCGTATTAAAATTGGCGGTTCAAAATTATCTGTTGATCAAAATTATTCGATTGAACATTGGAAATACGGTGAAACATAAATTGTATCTCTAGTAGCAATGTCAGCTTGGAGACTTGTTGATACCAGTGAGGGATGTTTCTTCGTCAATATAACGAGTAATAAAGCTAAGCTTTTATTTGAATGTGCTCTTTTATTTATTTCAATGTCCCAACCTTTATTCCTGTGTGGAATAATTTGTTAAAAGGTTATTATTAAACACGCTGTATTTGCCTACATCCACGTTTGTAAAATGTTTACCAAATTAAATCTAAGTTTATACCTACCTACTACACTATATACCTATACTGTACTTATATGTATAGGTATACTTACCTATATACCTACTATGGCATGCAAGTGGTAAGCGGTTAACCATTCTATCAAAACATTTTATCAGAAACCACTGTCTATAGACTATTGATGTAACGAATTTTAGATTTTCTTCTTCTATTATTCTGAAATATTCGAGAATACGAATGAACATAATAATCACAATTGATGCGAACATTCGTTATACCACTACGAGTATAAATTACCCACTCTCGGCACTCCATAAAATTACCTATAATAATTGAGTTCTGGTGATTTAAGGTCTTCTGGGACGGTATCGGTCTTCTGAAGTTAGTTACTTTATTTGATCCTCATGAACACACATTTCTCAATCAGAATCACGATCATGGACATCTGACAATGACTTTCAAATCCAATTCATTAATGCCTAATAAATCGTCTTGTCGAATGATTATTCATCAACATTATCAATCTTCATCACCAAAAGCCTTTAGTAGTAAACTGCTGGATATAGGCATGTCCTTAGGAAGGAGGTTTTGGCCTACTATATCACGCTGGCCAGACGGGTTGGTATAGGGTTTGTGTCAAGTTTTCCTTCTCTTTGCAGTGCTGTTGTCCTGCGTATAGGGGGTGACACTCCGTATTCTTAATCCGTCACCACGCGGACTAATAACACCAAAGAAATTCATACATACTTAGATAAATATGTAGGGTCCTTCTTATTCAAAGTTTTGTCAAAACAACCGGTCCTGCGCTGGCCACATCCAACGGTTTCCCGCGACCTTCACCATCATATTGTCGGATAACAACCTGTATAAGTTTCCTGTATAGTAAAGTTCAGTATAAGTTTCCAAACATACCAAGCAGTTGGTTTGTAATATTTCCATCATTAATTCCCATTAGAGATACATGCCTGAATAAAGTTTGATCTTGCGGAGTTGTGGGGGAACAATGTAGTTCAATCAAAATTCACTAGATGGCAGTAAGCAATGTGCATACATAGCTGGATTGAAGTCGTCCTTATGTACTTGAATTCTTCAAAGAAACAAAAACCAAGACACATTTATTTCTCGTAAGTATACAAACCTGAAATTACTCTGTCGAAAAGTAAGGAAAATACAATAAAAGTCGATCCGAGATTCGTATCTCTATTGTATTACCTACAGGTTAAATGGAGTGGACTTTAATTAAGTATTAATCAGTGCGAACTTACCGCAACCATTTGGCTGTTTGGAATTTTTCAAAAAGGGAACTACCTAAATGTAACGGCTAGTTTAAGTTTAATAATTTCTTTGATATTTTTGCGCTGATGGTAAAAGTCAAATTCATTCGGTACCTTATTAACAGAAAAAACGTTTTGTTTATTCGTTGAAAGTTTAATAAGTCTATTTAATCGTACCTTCAGTGAAATACAGTTATACTACACCAAACAAAGGGAACCTGTTACCTATTTATAGTTACTAGAACGACTCAATTCATAGCCTTTATAGCCAATAATTAATTCAAGTAGTTCTTAACCAAATGAATAATAACAGCCCCTGTATCTTGAGACTATCAAATATTCAAATTACCCCTAATTCCCAACCAATCGCTTAGGGCAGCGAGTTTTGAGCTGATTACCAGTAAGACCTTAATTATTAAGTCTCAAGGAGTCACTTGAGTTTAAATTGGACTATTGAGTGCCTGGATAAAACGAATAAATTAGATCACGGGGGGAGCTTGTCTAAGAGGGGATGTCCTATGTATTTACGTTGTCTATGCAGGTCTATGTGTCTATTTGTCTGCGCAAACATATCACAATAAATATGTCTTTAAACTTGTCAAAACAGACATATCACAATAATTACTTACTGTTTTTTTTTCTAAGGAGGGAAATGAATTTATTATATTTCTAACTAATCCAATTTACTTTTCATTGATTTCGTTTCGGGTTCCAAGACAGTTTAACTTTTCCTGGGACTTTCAGGGGTGATCGCCTCGCGATGATCTAGCAGCCCGTGGTCTCGCAAAGATTTACCAGCCCGGGGCTTCGCAATGATCTACCATCCCGGGGCCTCGTAATGATCTACGTGCCCGGGTCCTCACAATGACTACAGCCGCCACTGCCTGGGACTTGAGTGTCATAATTCGGTGTTCGTGGGTCACTGCTATAGATGTAAAACAACTGATTTAAAACGTTTTAAATAAAATGTTGTCGTTTTAAACCCCAAATAAATCGTTCTAAACGGTTGAAAACTCGTCTACAAAAATAAAAGAACTGTGTTTCACACTTCATTGTGGCATTTTTGGTCACCTGTCGTCGTGTTTCGTTTTAATTAGTTTATACAAAATTAATAGAAAGCCTACCTACCTACATTACCTAATAACGAAAACTTAAGTATGTATTTAGGTGCGAGACTGTGAGTTTGGTTTTAAATCGAATCAAATTGATTATTTATATCATTTGAAAACAATGAAAAAAATGTTTCTTTACCAACACAGAGCTTTTAACTTTTCAATAGAGTTTTTATAACTTAGATAGGTAATACCTCCGCTTGGTCAGACAGACCAACTAGAACTAAACCCGCTAAGTATATCAATATCAGTACCTATATCACACATACAACAGTATATAGGGTGCTGTGAACAAAATTCCCTCGTTGAACACTTCCGAGATTGTCTATGATCAAATGTGGGAACCTTACTACTTATTAAAAAGTGATCGATCTTCTCACAAAGCCAGGCCTTTCATCTGTTGGTAAAAAAAACTGTTTGGCTGACCAATACAGCATATAAAAAGGAAAGCCCTTCTCATCAAACCATAATCAGAACAGCATGACCCCACTTGATACGGCTCTATAGCACAAATGAAAAACACTAATCTGCATGGGGGTAACATAAAAAAAAAAAAACAAAGATTCCAAAAATAATATTTTCTGGGTATCTAAATGTATATTCTTAATCAATGGTTATCATATTTCATGAATATTAATAAATATTACAAAAGTAGTCAATTTGTCCCACAGATATATGCTTGCTTTATCAACTATGCATAAATATATAATAATTAAGAGTTAGGTACTCATACTATTACTGCACAGATAGTGTAGTGGTTTGTGATCACCTTGCTGCTTTCTACTGCACTGATTATTGTGGGTTCAATCCCCAAATGGGGTAATACTTTGTGTGCTCCACAAATTGTTGTTCTGAGTCTGGGTAACCTTTGTGTTTGTTTCATGTATGTTTTTAAAGTCCCTCATGACACAGGATATATGCCTAGTAGATTTTTTTTAAATATTCCTACTAATATTTCAAAATTTATATAAAACTAAAGAACTCATCAAATGCAGTTAATATTACTTGATTATAAAATATAATTTTATTTTGAGTTTAAGTAAATATTTACAGTTAGATGCAGTAACAGCCAATAGAAAACCAAAAACAAATAAATCTTGAGTCTAAATATCTTTGTTAATCTATTGTTACTGCAAAGCAAAATATGTTATAAAGGCATATTACAGTGTTAAAACATAATAAAGTCGAAAACATAACAATGCAGGATGTAATAGCCTCAAACAAACATCAATAATATAACAACATGGCATGTATACACAAGTAACATTTTTCAAAGGCTCACTGCAAGACATGTTTTACTGTTCGCGACAAATGGTTACAATAAAACTATAAGAAAATTAAGTAATGTTAGATAATGTGTTAACAAATTGGTACTCAAACTTTCGCAACACATTATAATCCATGTATGTACAGGTACAGTACATACATGGATTATAATAGTGTTGCGAAAGTGTTGTGTTGTATGCTTATTAACGCTTGAGAGATTACAATAATAAAATGGTTTGTGTCTTTATTTTTCTGACTTGCCCCTTCACTTTTTGTACTGTACTTTATCTTGCAATTCTCCTATTCCAAACAACATTAGTTTAATGTGAGCCTTAGTCTGTGCAGCCTTTGTATGCATTTCTTCTGCCTTCTTCTCAAAAGCTTTTATTCTTACATCTAAATACTTGTTTGCTTCATCTAATGTAAATTCTAAATAGTGATTTAAGCCTATATTGATTAACAATGACGATGTGTCTGTAACTGCTGCTTCCATGAAGAAGTTACACCCTAAATTCATTTGTGTTTTGAAACCGTCTGGGTGAATATTTTTGTCAGTGACAATTTTCAATGTATGTTTCTGTTGAATTAAATCTGCAATCTCAGCATTGACTTGTTGTAGTCGTAGCTCCAACTGACGAAGATCTTCTTTGAGAACGTCGTGGATGTAATGTTCATATTTTTTTATCCTATCATCAATATTTTGTTTCGGCATTGCGAAGTTATATTTTAGGTTAGATCTATTACAAATCAATTTACACAACTTTTTATCATTCTTTGTATATGATTCCGTTAATCTCTTCTATTTTAGATTTCCACTTAACAACATACCAGTATCAGTATAAAATGAAATTAACAAAAACAACACAGAATACTGTATTGAGATAAGGTATAAAAGTGATTTAAACTTCAGGTTGTTTATAAATCCCGCTACGGGTCAGCCTAGGTTTAAAGCTGTCTCAAAAATTATTAGCAGTTAAACTTCTAAAAAATGAATCTGTATTTTTGATTATTTTTATTTTATTAACTTATAAATAATTGATGTCAATTTTTTAACCCTCTTTATATAACTAAACAGAATTGTCTTACAAAAATATATCTTCTACGTTAGCTTTCTTTACGAATGCTTAAAAATACTTTTTGTAGCGCCATCTATCTATAGTACTTGGAAGCCTTTTTGTGATTGAAGCATTGCACTGCCATCTCTAAAGCATGCTACAAAGCTTTATACCATCTCGAATTCTATTCAACCATATTTACTATAAATTTATAGCAAAAACCACAGGTGGCGCTACTTTTGCACGTGTGTCATTTGTGTAGCATTTTTAGTACATGAAGAAGGTTTTCGTTTACACGAAGCCTAATTACGGGCAGTGGCGGCCTTAGCCTTTGCGGGCTGGTAGATCATTACTAGGCCCTTGGCTTTGTGGAATTAGTTTAAATGATGATACTTGGAACAAAAAATGGAGCACAATATAAAATAATAAAACTGCTGTCTACTAGTACCCGAGACGGCGTGTGGTTTTTAGTCGGTTCGAGTCCGACATAACCATCCCACCGGATGTCCGGTGGTATCCGAGGGGATTTACGTACAGAAAAATAAGCGTAAGGCGTTAAACTCAAACATTTTTCTTTTAACTTTATTGCGCGAGTGCGCGAGGCCTCTGCACGAGCGAGGCCCTAAGTGGTTGCCCTGCTCGCTACCCCCAAAGGCCCCCCTGATTACGGGCTGGTACTTGTTGTACGGTCTAGTAGTAGCTTGTCCTACTTATTGTTTCATAAAATTCAAAACACATCTCTTTTATAAAGTTTTTAAACAGTGTTATACCTAAGCTGGAAGACGTTTTTACTATTTAGACCTGAACTAACATTATAGTTTTTTTTTGCAAATTGTGGGTAACGGTTTTAGTCGCGTAAACGGTTGGAAGCAAGTCCTCGGGAAACTTTCAGACTTTGTTCTCTTATAAAAGAGTAGGCACACAGAGAAGAGTGCGTTGAACCACTTCAAGTTAAAAGAGTAAATAAAATATATCGCCTCAAGTCTGCTTACAACATAAGTACATAGTAGGAGGGTAACGTCAGAATTCATAAAACAAGACGTTAATTAATCAAACGTTAAATAATCATTTCAAATAATTGATATCACAGCTCTAAATATGAAGAACTATTCGAGCTTATCGAATGCGAACCTGTCACACGTGATATTTTCTTTCTTAGAAAATATTTTCAACACATTATATCTGTATAATTAAATAACTTTGCTTAGGAAATTTCAAATCAAATCGGGTAACTTAGCATTGTTGAGGAACGGGTGTCGTGTCCCTCCAACACAAAGGGAGGACCCTCCGATCAGGTGATCATGCCTGGCGGGCCGCGGCCCAACGGTTGATGTTGGGAGGTTGTACATATGCTTATCGACGAGAGAATTCTTCATATCGCGATACAGGACTAGCAATTCTCATTCAGGAGTTACTCCGTAGTTCGGTGTGTCTTCGTTAGATGGCGCTGTAGTATATTTCTGTTTATTTATATGGGAGTCGCCACAGTATTATATTTGCAAAGTAGGCGAACTACTCGAGGAATTTGAAAGGTTCTATACACTTAGATTATTTTTTACGAGTTACATGTTTGACTCAGAGCAATACAGCCGACAGCCAAAAGCCGCCCAACTCTCCTTCACGATGACTTAATTGCAATATTTTTCTTCATCAGAAGCATATTATATATATTATGATACCAATGTCTACTATTTTAGATACTTCGACCATTCTAGGAAAAATCTAGTATGAGTAGTTTCAGGTAAAGCACGTGCTCACGCTCAGGCTTTTCTAATGAGACAGTGAATGCAAGTAACTGTTATTCCTATCTACTGAAGTTCTCACTCCAATTATAGTCTGATTTTTAAATAAATAGACTAAAATTAAATTTGCCGCGTTATCATAATGTATAAAATAGTGCTGCGTCCTGAATGATCAAGTTTAGTTAGTTTATTAGTTTGAATTTACATTGATCAGTAGCATGAGTAGCCCGGTTCATAATTACAGTGTTCATAATTATTTTCAGAAAAATAGTATATCGTAGTCGAGTATCTCGAATCAAAACTGCACTGTCATTTAAAAGAAAGGTACTACAAATTCCAGCTATGTATCCTTAGGTACAAAGAGTATGCAAGAATAAATAAAAGGTAACAAAACTAAAAGAAACACGCTTTTGTAACTAGCCTCACTGAAAAGTAGAAAATAATTTTCTTTCAGTTCAAAAAGAAAAAAAAATTGTAAAAAGCGTAGGGTGCTTCTTAAGAATTTTTACAATGTAATAACTTTACTTTGTCCAATATCTGTCAATAAAATATTTGCAACAATTAGCATCTAGCAGCCCACGCTTTTTTTACGATTTCTTTTTGAAATTATTTTCTACTTTTTAGTTAGGCTAGTTACAAAAGCGTGTTACTTTTATTTATTTTTACTATTATTTATTTTAAGGTAGTTACTATAAATATTTTTTTTTTATCAAACTGTTAATCAACAAATCGACAAAGTTCAGTCATATAACAACCCTATTCTGGCACACATGCAACATTAAAAAAAAATTGGTCGATTAGAGCTGTCGCTTTGGTCCATCTAATTAAAACTTAGACTAAAGTATAAATCCAACAACCCTTAAACAATTCTACACGCTTTTTCAGCAAATCCTCTCGCTGTGTTACAAGTGCATGCAGTTTTCGTATATTCCCTGAAAGTAGGAAGATTTTATCGACTGGTAATCACAAAGTGACGTTAGTAAAAGATCCACTTTTTAACTTTATAATTTTTTGTACTTACTCGTTTTACAAATACTCATTCATGATGTCCTCCAGCACTAAATGGGTATAAGTACTTATTGCATACTAATTGTTGAAGCTTGTTATTGGCATTGATTGATCTAATTTATTTGACTGGCCTGTTGGCTTAGTGGTTAGTGATCTTAACTGCTAAGCCAGAGGTCGTGGGTTCTATTCCCATCCCAGACAAATATATCATTTGTTCTGTTTCTGCATGAAATTTATCTATGATTTTGCATTTAAAGTTTGCAAGTATGTTTATCAGAAGTTTGGTTACCACAGGTTTTGCATAGTTTGAGATCAGAGAGCCATGTGTGTGATTTGTAAGGTTATTAATTCGTACACCTATTTGTATGTAAAGCTGTAAGCTTCCCTAGTAAAATAAAGTGAATGAAAAAGGGTGTTAAAAACAAACACAAAATGAACGATCTCGGAAATCGTTTATTTGACAAGAAATAGTTTAAATATCACTTTTCACAATAGAAAATCAGCAAACTTACCGAAATATTTTATAAATATTTCATATTATAATAGAATGAGAGATTATTACAAGGAACCCGAAAACGCGCATGAATTTCATTTGAAATATTCAAAAATACATCAGTAATATACTTATAAATTAACTTTTAGTATGACGCGTCACTAGCCCACTATCTCTCATGTAGCATCGTGGTAGGGAGAAATCGTTTCTATGATGCTACTACAACCTGATTATGTAATTACCTACTTCGAGTTCAGGAACCCAATTCAAATATTTGTAGTGCAGTACATAACGCGCACTACATTAAAAGCTTTAAATGTAGTGCGCGTTTTCGGACTAAATAACAATTGTTTATTTTTGAAAAATTGTAGGTATGTGAAAAAATATATTTTACAAATGGGATGATGTTCATGATTAGTATTTACAGACTTCATTTTACATTCAAGTCATGTCTGTAGTTTTTTTATATTTAACAAATTAATAATATCTGACTAAACACAAATAATATGTATAAAAATATTGATTAAATTTGTTAGAAGACATAACTAATAAAGGAATTAGCAGTTAAATCTTTTTATTTGTTACTTGAGACATCAGACATTGTGTAAAAATTTAGGTACTAACTGTATATTATTTCACAATATTGTATATAAAATATAGAAATATATGGCGGTTATTTATTTGCTTGTGACATTATAAGCTTTTATCGTTATTTCTTCTAGTAAAGGACATATTAAGACACAATGAAATATTTATTTAATTAAAATAAAAGAACATAACAGTTATTTCACAAGTATATTGTTGAAGTGATAATATTAATTATACACACATTGTTTCTAACTACATTTAAGCATGACTTGAGCATGGTTCCTTTCAAAAGATACTCATCATTTTAAGGAAATTAATTAGTTTTAAACAATTTTGATCAATCAACGATTAATAATATGAAGTCTGTACATGACATAACCAAGAAACCGCACTTGAAATGAGAGCTTCCTAAATGACACTCTCTGTACAATAAAACAATACTATTCTACAATGATTTCAAATTGAAATTACTCTCATACAAGAGTTAAACGGATTGAAATGAAATATATAAATTCAATGAAACGTTTCCTTAGTCCTGCGAATAGATGGCGCCTCTACCTTTATGAGTTACGGACCCAACACCACCTCTTTCGTTCGTCTTACAACTATCTTAAACATTTTAATAGTTAATTTGTTAGATAAACTACTGTGTGATGGACTGTCGCTTATAATAACGTGCTGTTACTGACTTCTTATTACTATATAAAAGAGAAAAAACGGTATATAATTATTTAGGAAGATTGTGACGTAAGCACCAGATAATAAGGACGATCGGGTTGATACTATAAAAATTGGTTTTAATCATCTCAACAAAAGCAGCTAGACA